CGTGTGTGTGTGACACCGGGTGTGACACTGGGTGTGTGACACTGGGGGGGTGTGTGTGAGACACCGGGTGTGACTGGGTGTGTGACACCGGGTGTGACACTGACACCGGGTGTGTGTGAGACACTGTGTGTGACACCGTGTGTGTGTGTGTGACACCGGGTGTGACACTGTGTGCATGACACCAGGTGTGTGACACTGTGTGTGTGTGTGTGTGTGTGTGTGTGTGTGTGTGAGACACCAGGTGTGTGACACTGTGTGTGTGTGTGTGACACCAGGTGTGTGACACTCTGTGTGTGTGTGTGTGTGTGTGTGACACCAGGTGTGACACCGTGTTTGTGTGTGTTTGACACTGGGTGTGTGACGCTGTGTGTGTGACACCATGTGTGTGACACTGAGTTTGTGTGTGTGACACCGTGTGTGACACCATGTGTGTGTGACACTGGGTATGTGTGACACCAGGTATGTGTGACACCATGTGTGTGACACTGAGTTTGTGTGTGACACTGTGGGGGTGTGCGACACCGTGTGTGTGACACCATGGGGCTGTGACACCGTGGGGGTGTGTGACACTGTGGGGGTGCGTGGCACTGTGGGGGTGTGTGGCACCACGTGTGACACCATGTGTGTGACACTATGTGCATGACACTGTGCATGTGTGACACCAGGTATGTGTGACACCATGTGTGTGACACCGTGTGTGTGACCGTGTGACTGTGCATGTGACCCAGCAGGTGTGACGGTGTGCGTGGCACCGCGTGTGGCGCTCCACGCGCCACGCCGTGCGTGTCAAACACCGCCCGTCACCGTGTAGGACAGCGCCTGTGGCGCCGCGCAGCACCGCGCGTGACAGCGGGCGTGACCGCGTGGGTGCGTGACGCCGTCTGTTGGGGCGTGCGGGTGATGCTGACACCGGTGGCACGGCGAAGGCGGGGGACGGACGGCGGGTGCGGAGGTTCGGCGCGCGGTGCGTCACCGGGGCGGGCACGCGGTGACGCTCCGGCGGCCGTGGCTCCAGACCCCCGCGGAGGGGGGGGGGGGGGTCGCCCCCCCGA